AAATTACCTAATATGTATATGGATTTTTCCATATTAGTCCCCTACATCTTTTATATCTGAAATTAGTCCCCTAAATCTCTCATACTTAAAATTAGCCCACTAGATCCTTCATAATTGAAATTAGTATCTCAAATCTCTACTTGAAACTAGTACCCAAAATCTTTCAAATTTGAAACTAGTCCCCCAAATGTCTAAAATACTTTGAAATTAGTCCCTATGTTACATTTATCATATGACACTGTTAGCTAGTGGTTAACTAGGGACAGGTAATTACCAAATCAACTAAAATTAACAACAAAATCCACCAAAATCAAGTTAAAAATAGTGGATTTAAGTCAACATACACATCATATATTTCATAATTTTCTTGGTATTTCAAGTTAAATAGAGAGATTGGTTTCAATTTCCATATAGCTTTGCATTTAATAGTAGAATTGTGAAATGATGTTTATATGTTCTACTGTTTTATATTTTTGATGGAATTGTGAAATGTGGTTCTTCTAACTTCATGAAGTTTTACGCTAAGAATTAGATACGTGAAATTAGTTTTCTGTGTCCATGTATTTCTGCAATTATTTTATAAATGTGCAGTTAAAATAGCTTCATTTCTTTTATTATTGTTTAAAATGAGTTTAATAATAAGTCAAAATGATCATTTCCCCCTTAAAGTATCTATGAACTCTCAAGTTGTCCTCTGAAGTATCAATTTGCCTACTTCCCTCTTAAACTTTGTGCATGTGTCCACTGTGATCATTTTCTAAGCCTATAATCAAATATTTAACAAATTAATGACGTGCTAGTGTTTTTGTTGCATTTCTTAAAATTTTTGCAATTTAAAAATGATTTTTTTAATTAATCAAAGGGGTTAAAAGGGCAGAAAATTTTGAGAGAAGTAGTTAAAACATATTTTTTTAGTTTGTGAAAAAAGGAGACAAACCGAGAAAAACCCATGAAAAAATACAAAAAATTTGTCATGTCATTGATCGGTAAAATATTTAGCCGTGGATTCACAAAATGGCCACATTGAAACCACAAACATAGTTTGAGGGGCAAACTACATAAATTGATACTTTAGGGGGGAATTTGAGAACTCATTAATAGCTTAAGGATGGGTTAGTTAATTTGTTCTTAATAATATGGTTTATAGTTTATTGTCAATTACATGATATTTAAAAAGATTATAATTAGTAGTTTGTGAATTGTGATTATAGAAAACCAACTACAATTGATACATTAAAAAAAGAGAATGCTTACAAGACTGAAGCTGTTTGATTCAACAATGAGTGCATAAGTTTAAATGATTTAATATTCATGAAAAAAATCTTTGTAAAACTTTTATTTTTGATTTTTCTTTCACATACCATACGTATATGAAATTTTATAATATATTGTCATTTTTTTAATGCTTTTTAATCAATGCGTAGTACTTGCATATATTTTTGTTGCTGCAGGTAAATAGGCCAAAAGACAAAACCGACATGCCCCATTACAACATGATTTTCTTGCTAAAACATTTTATTATAGTTTTAACGCAGAAGGATCTATTTCAATGTGAACATTTGAAACCTGATGTTCATGGTTCTACAACAAAAAAGGAAAAAGCCACTACATACCTTTCACGAATCAATCACAATTGACAATTAGCCTTTTAGGGTTTTATGGTTATAGGTGAATTTTCTAAAAAATTGGATTGTGTATTAATCAATTTCAGGCTTCATGATGAATAGGAAGTAAAGTATGTATTATAAAACATGTGTAAAGGTCTAATAGGCTGTATGAAAAGGTAAATTGAAAAAAATGATTTTGCAAAAACTGCTTATTTCAACTTTTATCTAAGGCAGGTATTCTACAGCTTGCACATAAACAGTCCCCACCTACGAAATATTCATATCCACAGATGTAAACACCAAAAATGCAATCTACAGACACAAGTGCTATTTAAAGGCACCTTTCATGTGCATGCTTTGATTCAACAGCAAGAGCAACCTGCCAGTCCTCAAACAAGTTGGGGTACTCTTGGGGATCAGCCAATGATTCTGCAGCTTTCGGGTTAACCTTCATCAATATCCAAAGAAGGTAAACTTCAACTAGTTGTAGTTTGCTTAAGGAACAAGAAGAGAAAAGAGAGAAACATCATTGAATAATTTTGAATGATTAAAGAGCACAGATTACAATAAGAGAAATATGAAACATAATGGAACCTCTTATGTTCCTGCAAGCTTTAGAATGAAAGTAATAATAATAATAATAAATCTAAGCATGCTATTGAGTTCAATCAAAATAAAACCTTGTTGAGATCATTTTTCCACGTTGCAACAATCTCAGGGACTTTGCTTGGAAGATAGGATCGTGCCATCAAAGCAGCTTCTGGGATACGATTGCTGTAAACATAGGTGTATTAAACAGATGCAATTCAGTATATTATTTGGCAATGAAGAATAAGAAAATGAGGACAAGAAGCATTTGGGGTTGAGCCTAAAAAGAGGAAACAATAAGTACCTTTCCACCAACAGATTTAGGCAATTATCCACTTTACCTAGCATAAATAAACAAAGGAAAGTAACGTTGTTCTTCCCCTGTTCTTTGGCCAGATTTGCAAGTTTTGTTATTCCCTCAGCGTCTCCAAGAGCTGAATAAAGAAGCAGTAAACCACTCAAATCCATAGCATTTGATAAACATTCTTCCGCCATTTCTAACTGCAAAACAGAATTGCAGATTGATCTATCAGTGGTAGGTATCATTAGCTTCCTTTTTAACAAGCCAATAAAAACACAGTAGTAGAACCAAGATGGCATGCTTGAACTGGTAAAGAGCGCAAAAGGGAACTGGAATCTTGGTTCTTAAAATATGTACTTTAGCCAATCTAACATGCTCAGTAAGTTCCATTCTACAACAGTAACTGGACCAATGACTATATTGGCACTCAACGTTTAGGTTTTTTCAAGAAAATAGAAAAAGAAAGAAAGAAAAAGAAAGAAAGATAACTTGATCAGAAAGTACTAAAAATTATGTGAATACATTGTCTAGTATGAAGCAAAGTAAGGTATGAACCTCAACCAGCTTTAGTTTTAAAGGCATCAAATTATACCTCAATTGTTAGGCCATCAGATGAACAGAAGTTTTCATCCATTATTTAATGCAATTCAACTTTCTTCAGACGACTGGAAAGCATACAGATTCACTCATATTACCTTTTCTCAGACTTAAATCTTTCAAAGGTTTTCCCCCCTCTTCTTTTTTCTTTTCCAGATATGTCTACTATGCTGCTAGCATTCTATGAGTAGAAAGCAAACAAACTTGGTAATGGCCATATAAATGGGCTAGCCAAATTGATTCCAAAGTTTTTTGTCTATCCTAAAGAGGCCTTTATTCTCCAACACTTCTCACAGTGTAACAGCTATAAGGGCAAAACTACGCATGCATCTTTCTTCTTGTAGAATTAAAAAAACCCAGAATATGTCAGCTACATACCATTCCAGTGGACATAGCTAGCTCTCCCAACTGTTTCCACTTTGATTCACTTTGTCCTTCAACAGCAATCTCCTGCACCATAAAATTACTCTATCATAAAATTACTCTATCAAACGGTAATTGATGGCTATAAAAAATATTCTCTTCTTGGTAGAGCTTAAATGTTACATGCATATTTCTCCATCATAAGGTCAAGTTATATTCAAACATACCTTCGCAACATCTAACCGCCCTAGCTGTATAGCTAGATCAAATCTGTAATTAGGATCCGTAGCGACTTCCAGAGCATCCTCCAACATGCCACGAGACTCCAAGAAAC